TACGATATCCATATAAAGCCATTTATGGTTTACCAAATTCATTAAAATGTCCTCATTCAATCTATAAACGATTTGATGAATGTGAAAAAACATCACATAAAGATTGGGATATTACTATTGATGAATATGTAAGTTGTCCAAACAAATATATAATGGATGATTTGATAATTTATTTAACCCATTCTTGTCATCAGTTTTATGAAACAAAAAAATTTTGTTGTTTCATTTGGCAAACAATGGATTGTGAAATTGATATTGCTAAACAATGTAATCAAATTTATTCACAAAGACTTGAAAAGAATACAATAAAAACATATCAAACATTATGCAATCATATTGGCTATGGTCATGGTAGCTGGTCATGTTGGTGGACAAATGAACGACAAGCTAATGCTGGTAGTATAATCGGAATTGCTATTGTGATACTTTTGATGTTTTGTTTTGTTTATAGTTTATATCAATATAAAAATTATCAAATGAAAAAATTGGATACATCAACAGTCGGTCAACCAACACAACCAGCACCACGGTCACAAACACCCCCACCACTAGCAACACCACCACCAACACCGCCACAAACACCACTACCGCTAACACCACCACCAACACCGCCACAAACACCACTACCGCTAACACCGCCACCAACACCGCCACAAACACCACTACCGCTACAACCACCACCAACATCAACATCAACATCAATATCAACATCAGCACCACCACCACAACCGCCAACATCAACATCAACATCAATATCAACATCAGCGCCACCACCACCACCGCCAACATCAACATCAACATCAATATCAACATCAGCACCACCACCACCACCGCCAACATCAACATCAACATCAACATCAGCACCAACAGCATCACTAAAACTATCATCAATAAATTTATGGGATGATTCAACAGTATCAACATCATCATCAATTGGTCATGGTCATTATACTGAGGAACCACCACGACCACCAAATTATAAATCATGGTTAGAAGGTTCATATTTTCATCCGGATAATATTCGAAGAGTAATAGCAGAAGGAAATATTCCACCATTACCACAGCCAACACTTATTACCGAACCCAATGGAATTGTTGATAAAATTTTTCGTTATAATGTAATGCATAGAAATCCATGATTTTCTGAGTTACAATTATAATTAAAGTTTTTGTTTGTTTGTTTTTTTGAGATAGATAACTTTACATTCAATAATTTTTTTAAAATTATTAATAATTGATTTTTGTAAATTTTTTAATTTTTTATTAGTAAAATTGCTAATCTGATGTTTGTGTGTTCAAAATAAAATATAAGAATGGAATTTGATAACAATTCTGTAAGGGAAATTACAAGAATAATTATTGTATTTTTTATATGAATCCAAGGGGAAAATTTTTCCAATATGGTTTAGTTTTTAATTTCTCTTATTTGGGTAAGAAAAAAAAATGTTTAAACAATGAATCAAAATTTACAAAATTTTAATCAATTTTGTCAATAAATAATAATTAAAAAATCCGAATAAAATAATAATATTCAATAGTAAATATTCTGTAAATTAAATTACAAATCTAATATAAATTTTCTATCATCAATCACAAGAATAATTATTGAATTTTATTATAAATTCAATGGGGGAGAAATTTTTTCAATGGATTCAATTTTTTTGGTTAATTTTTGGTCAAGAAGAAAAAAATGTTGAAACCACATTTATTTTTAATGATGATGATTATTATAGCTATGATCGATGGTAGTTATTCAATCATTGTGCATGGTTCTAATCAAAATCCAAATCAAACCGAATGGTATGCGATACGATTTCCATATAAATCGATTTATGGTTTGCCATATTCATTTAAATGTCATTCATCCATTCATAGAGAATTTGATGAATGTGAACAATCATCACATATAGATTGGGAAGTTTCTATTGATGATTATGTAAGTTGTCCAACAAATATATAATGAATTATTTGATGATTTATTTAACCCTTTTTTGTCTACAGTTTTATGAAACACAAAAATTTTGTTGTTTTATTTGGCAAGCAATGGATTGCGAAATTGATAAAGCAAAAAAATGTAATGAAGATTATTCGAAAAAAATTGAATTGAATACCAGACAAACATATCAAACATTTTGCGATAATATTGGTTCTGGTCATAAAAGTAAACCATGTTGGTGGACAGAAAAAGAAAAAAAAATTGCCACAATTATAATTGAAATTGTTGTAATAGTATTTATATTGTACTGTGTACTAAATAATATAAGAAAAATAAAAAAATTTCGACAAAGAAAAGAAGCATTTCAATTGTATCGAAAAATGCATCGAAGGCATCACAAATGGAGTCATTTGAAAAATATGTTTGATAATCGTCCAAAAATCGAATTTGAAGAAGAACAACGAATATGGGAAGTAACATCATCAAATCAATCATTATATAGTAAAAGAGGGTCATTCAAAAATCCAATTGTAACATCTCCACCAGATACACCACCAATAACACCACCACCAACACCACCACCAACACCACCACCAACACCAAATCAATTTGTAAACAAAATTTTATCCGATGTTAATTTACCAACAATCAATCAAAATTTGGATACATTTTTCAAATAACTTTCAATATTTCGATTTTTTGTCAATTTTGTTTTATTTTTCCAAATGAAACAAAAAATAAATATATTTCAATAAAACAAATTAATCAACAACAAAAAATCCTGTAATAAATCAATTAATTACAAATCAAAATTACCCTTCCCAACTACCACAAAAAAATTACAAGAATTATTTTATTGAAATAAATAATTTTGTCATTGTTGAATTTTATTATAAATACAAATATTTATCCAATCTGATTTCATTTCAACAAGAAAAAAAATGTTTAAATCACAATTCTTGTTGATGATACTGATGATGAATATCGCAGTTAAAATGATCGATGGTAATCGTTCATTTTTCATTTTGCATAATCAATCAGATAATCCAAATCAAACAAATTGGTTCGATGTACGATATCCATATAAAGCTGTTTATGGTTTACCAAATTCATTAAATTGTCAACAATCAATTTATGAAAGATTTGATGAATGTGAAAAATCATCACATTTGGATTGGAAAATTACTAATGATGAATATGTAAGAGTTGTCCAAACATACACACAATTATAATTTATGGTATTAATTTGGTGTTTCTGTCTATGTTATTCTACCATTTAGTTTTATGAAACAAAAAAATTTTGTTGTTTTATTTGGCAAACAATGAATTGTCAAATTGATATAGCAAAACAATGTAATAAAGATTATTCGGAAAAACTTGAATCGAATACAAAACAAACATATCAAACATTTTGTAATAATATTGGTCATGGATATAAAAGTTGGTCATGTTGGTGGACAGAAAATCGAATAATTATTGTCAGTAGTGTAGTTGGAGGTGCATTGGTACTTCTTACAATATTTTGTATAGGTTATGGTTTATATAAATATAATAATTATCATAAAATGAAAAAATATAATGAAAATTTAAATAAATTTCAATCAACATCAACGCCAACATCTGATCCAATAACAAGAACAAGAACTTTACCAAGAACTATTGGATCACAAGCAACAACAAAAACAATAAAAAGATCAGGAAGTTTACCAACAAATGCACCGACAGGTAAACAAAAAACACAACCAATAACAATACCAACACCTTCAAATCAACCACAAACATTTAGGAATGAATCAATATCGGCCAATCAATCAATACCAACACCAACACTAACACCAAAATCATCACAAGAAGAATTATGGGATTTTTCACCAGTAGTAACATCACCACATCATCATCATCATCATCGACAACGAGAAAATTTTTGGGATGTTTCATCTAGATTAACAACATCATCACACGGTGTGGATAATGTTGAACCACCAGCAAATAAATCATCATGGTTAAAAGATCATGGTTTTCATCCAGAAAATATTCGACGAATAATTATTAGGGAAAATATTCCACCAATACCAGAACCACCACCATTAATTCTAGAAAATTATGAAAAATATTTCATAAATCAATAATTACGATTCCAATCATAATAATAGTAATCATGTTTACTCGAATATGAAATTTTATTTTTGTAAATTATTTTTTTTAATTTAACGCGTTCGCTACCAGCGACGCATATATGCGTCGTTTATTTGCTGTAGTTCTATGTGTTTTTCGAAATCTCCGGTAGCGAACGCGTTAATTAAAAAAAAACAAATGAAAATGTAATTTGTAAACAAAAAGTTCGGTAAATTAATTTTAAATCGAATTCTTTCCGAACAAAAAAAAATTACAAGAATGATTCGAATTTTATTATAAAATAAATGTAGAAAAAAACATTTACAAAATGTTTTTACTACAAATCTTGATGATGATTATCATTTGGATGAATATTGTAGTAATGATCGATGGTAGTAATTCAATCATTGTGCATCGATTTAATCTAAATCAAACCAAATGGTTCGATGTACGATATCCATATAAAGCCATTTATGGTTTACCAAATTCATTGAAATGTCAACAATCAATCTATGAACGATTCGATCAATGTGAAAAAACATCACAATCGGATTGGAAAATTACTATTGATGAATATGTAAGTTATTCAAACAAATATATAATGGATGATTTTTTATTATTTAACCCTTTTTTTGTCTACAGTTTTATGAAACAAGAAAATTTTGTTGTTTCATTTGGCAAACAATGAATTGTGAAATTGATATCGCTAAACAATGTAATCAAATTTATTCACAAAGACTTGAAAAGAATACAATAAAAACATATCAAACATTATGCAATCATATTGGTTATGGTTATAAAGGTTGGTCATGTTGGTGGACAGAAGAACGAAAAATTTTTGTCATGACTATAGTTGGTATTGTTATGATATTCCTAATGATATTATGTACAGTTATTGCTTTAAAACAACATGGAAATTATCAATTACAAAACAAAGTAATAGAAGAAGAGTAAGTAATCATTAATTATTCTGTTTTTTTTTTTGTAAACGAAAAAAATTTTGTTTTTTGTTTTTCAAAAAAAAAAGAATTCCAACCATAAAAGAAATTGGAAATCCAACAAATTTCAAATATAGATTGCATTTGGGTCAACATAGGCCACATAAATGTATAAAGGTTAAACCATTTCTTGAAACAAGATTTGGAGAATTTATAATAAACATACCTGATGAATGGTATGGTGGTTATCCACCGCCCACAATATCATCACCATCACCGCCACCATCATCACCTGCATCAACAATACCACATTCAATGACACATATTGAACAAACGATTCATGCAAATGCACTTCGAGATGCATTAATAAAATTAAAAACATTATAAAAATAATAATAATTTTAATAATAATAATAATCTAAACACAATAATAATAATAACATATATAACAAAATAAAAAACAAACAATAAATCAGATTTTAAATTTGTAATTTGTAATTAATTATTATTTGTTGAGAATCAATAATAAATTAATAAATTCATTAAAACTTTCAAATGTTATTCGATGATTGTGTGTTCAATAAAATATAAGAATGGAATTTGAATTCTGTAAATTGAATTACAAATTTCCAGCAAAAAAAATTACAATAATTATTGAATTTTATTATAAATTTAATGATGTAAAAAAAATATTTAAAATGATTTAGTTAGTAATTTTTACTTATTTGAGAAAGTAAAAATGTTTAAACTACAATTATTATTGATGATGAATATTGTAGTTATGATCGATGGTAGTCGTTCATTCATTTTGCATGGTTATAATCCAAATCAAACCGAATGGTTCACAATACGATATCCATATAAAAACATTTATGGTTTGCCAAATTCATTAAATTGTCATCAATCAATCTATGAAGAATTTGATGAATGTGAACAATCATCACATAAAGATTGGCAAATTACTATTGATGAATATGTAAGTTGTCCAAACACACAAATATATAATGGATGATTTAACCCTTTCGTGTTTTGTCTATATTTTTTTTCTTCTATCCAGTTTTATGAAACAAAAAAATTTTGTTGTTTTATTTGGCAAACAATGGATTGTGAAATTGATAAAGCAAAAAAATGTAATCAAATTTATTCCTTAGAAATTGAATTTAATACAAGAAAAACATATCAAACATTTTGCGATCATATTGGTTATAGTCATGGAAGTTGGACATGTTGGTGGACAGAAAATCGAATAATTACTGTCAGTAGTGTAATTGGAGCTGCATTGGTAATTCTTACGATATTTTGTATAGCTTACGGTTTTTATAAATATAATAATCGTTCAAAAAATAAAGTAGAGTAAGTATTTTAATCATTATGTTTGATGTATTATAATTCTCAAATTCTTCTCAAATCCAAAATGATTTGTAATAGTGAACAAATGAATTTTACAAAATTAAAAAGATCATCATCATTATCATCAACAAAAACAATAACACCATCATCACCACCACCACCATCAACAACAAAAATGGGTGGTCAACAAATAACAGAAGCAGTATCATCATCAATAAGATCATCATCAGGATCATCGAAAGGATCAAATACAATAAAATCAACAAAAACAACAGCAACAATATTAACAGAATCATCATCAACAATAGGTGATGGTCAACAAATAACAAAAACAGCATCATCAATAAGATCATCATCATCGGGATTAAGATCATCGTCAGGATCAAATTCAACATCAAATACAATAAAATCAACATCAACAACAACAACAACAATATTATCTGATCCACCACCACCACCACCGACAACAACAACAAATATAGTACCACAATCAATAACAGCAAAGACAAGATTATCATCACCAGCAATAATAACAACAAATGATTATTCTACAATACCAATAAATAATATAAATCAAACAAATAATAATCAGAATAATAATAATAATAATGGTGGTATAGTACATGCTACATTACATTATGTTGTTAGTAATGATTCATTAAATTTTGAAGAAATACCATTAACATCAACACCAACATTACCATTATCATCATCTCGATCAATAGCATCATCAACAGAAACGGAAAAAAATCCAAAATATATTCCTAAACGAAGACTATCACATCCATTTAATATTATATCAGATGAAGATTATTATGCTGAATGTTGGTTAGAAACTCAATCGGATAGTGGTATAGCACCATTTAGATATAAACAATTTAGACAATCAAATATATTGAATGTTGGTGGTGGTGGTGAATCATCAACGTCAGCCGCAATACCACCACCGCCACCACCACCACCTTCATCACAAGCAACAGTACCAACGCCCACATTGACAGATATTCAAAAAATAATACAACAAAATTATATTAATACAGCATTACAAGATTTTAAACCATTTTAAAATCGATCAATTCAAATTATCAAATTAATTAGGAAAATTGAATTACCACAATCATCATCATCATTGAAATATAAATAATAAACACAAAATTCATCTGATAAATAATGGATAATCAATCAAGTTTTCAACGAATACGAAAATTTATTTAACATGAAATAAATTATCGTTTTAATAAAAAAAAACCTCTAAAGCTAATTTAGTGTTAAATGTTGAAACAATAACGATTTTTTTAAAATCCTCTTCAATTCAATCTTCATTAACATCAAAAATAATGACAAATATTTATAAAAATGAAATGATATTTATTTAATAAAAAAAAAAATAATTTGAAAATGATACATATCGTGTACAAATTAAAGTTCAAGATTTATTTACATTATTTTTTATTCATTCATTTATTACAAAATAGTATATTTATATTTATAAAAAAAAAGATTTTTAAAAAAACAATAGTATTGTAATTAAATTGTAATTTGTTGAATAATAAAAATTAATTACAAATTTGTTTATGCAAATTTTTAATATGTCCATTTAGATGTTCTTTTTGACGAAATCTGCGATGACAATATTGACAGCCGAATGGTCTTTCATCTGTATGAATAAGTTTATGACGTTCAAGATGAGATTTCTTTGTAAATGTTTTTGAACAAATATTACATTGATGTTTGTTTTGCCCATTATTATCATCATCATTAGTGGTATGCATTTGGCCAATATGATTATTTAATTTTTTCTCTGAATTAAATCTATATTCACATTTATTACATTTGTATGACATATCAGCTGAATGTACACGACCAATATGTTTTTGTAAATCAAATTGTCGTGCAGTTGCATACTGACATTCATCACATTTGAATGGTTTTTCACCAGTATGGATACGGATATGTCTTAATAAATTGGATTGTTGTGTTGTTGAATATTGACATTTATCACATTTGAATGGTTTTTCACCAGTATGGATACGTTGATGTCGAACAAGTACAGATTTTCTTTGAAAACGATTACCACAAATATGACAAATATGTTTTCGATTCGGTTGATGTGTTCGGTGATGACGTAACAATTGTTTTGATGTATCGAATTTGAATGAACATTTGGAACAGGAAAGTTTTTCGATATCATCATTATCATCATTATCATTATGGTCATCAAAATTTTCATTATCATCATCAACATCAGTTTCGGTCATCATATTCAATGATTCTAAATCATTGTTTATCTCATTAGATAGATTTAAATTCGATTCGTTGTTTCCAGCAATATTTTCCGCAATATCATCATCATCATCATCATCACTTTTATCTGATGGAAAATATTCCAAAATTGTTGTCGATGAATCAGTATCGGAATCATTTGTGGTGACACAGGTAGAATATTCCGACATTGTTGATTGATCATTATTGTTTGGAACACCTGCAGAATTTGATACTTGCTCTTGTTCTTGTTCTTCATCTTCTACTTCAACGATATCGATTAAATTATCATTGTTTTCATTAAAATTCGATGATGATTGATTATGATTATGATTATGATTGATTAAATTTTCCATTTTTTTTGAAAAATCATTAAATTTTGTTTCAATTTCACTTAAATACTTTTTTATTTGATTAAAATCATTTGATAATGTTTGTTTGAATTTGTTGAATTCATTTTCGATTGTATCCATTTCGGTTAACATTAAATTATCTTCTTCTTCTTGATTAGATCGATTATCATCATCGATATTCGTTGATGATGAATTTGATGACGAAAACATGATTTACAAAAAAAAAANTTTTAATTTCATCGAAATTATCATCTTCCATTTGATCCAAATCATTTAATAATGTTTGTTTGAATTTGTTGAATTCATTTTCGATTGTATCCATTTCGGTTAACATTATATTATCTTCTTCTTCTTCTTGATTAGATCGATTATTATTATCGATAACAGTTGATAATGAATTTGATGACGAAAACATGATTTACAAAAAAAAAAAAGATTTCAAAATATTCAAAATTGTAATGTAATATTGCACCAAATAAGACGAAAAAAAAATGAAAAATAAAAGTTGACAAAAAAACACACAACAGTTCTTGCTAAACGATTACAAGTGACAATGATCGATGATCGATTACAAATGATCAAAACAAAAAAAAAAAAAAATCCCAAAATTGTCAACTCTTTCTTTCTCTTGTGTGTAACACGAATTGAATAGTGCGCATGATCAAGAAACGATATGCTAGAATTTTTACCCTTTTTTTGGTTGTTGACTTCAATCTTATATGGGACAAAATAGTAGTTTTGTTTATACCAAACGTTTTTTCTTTCTTTCCATTCTCCTGTATATGTGTTGAAAATAAATTTTGGCATGGTTGTTAACGGTCATAAAAATCATTTTAAAGTTTGTGTGTGTGTCTGATAAGATTGTTTATATTTTTTTTTCACTTTCTTCAAACAAACAAAAGGAATTTTACAACAAAAAAAATTAATCCTTTGTGTTCGACCAAGAAAATCAACAAGTCTTTGTTTTCATGGTCAATATTGGACGATTACAATTAACATCGAGAAACGATTACAACAATGAGAAAATTGTTTTCAATCAACCAAAATTGATGAAAAATAAACATGATAATAATTGATGAAAATATCATAATGATACATAAATGTAAATGAAAATTCAAGATTTTTTTTATGACATTATTTTTTATTCATTTATTTATTACAGATTATTATTTATAAATGAAGGATTTTTTTTAAAGAAATTATCATTAAATTTATTAAATTGTAATTTGTTAATAATAAAAATTAATTACAAATTTGTGGATGTAAATTTTTAATATGATTTTGAAGTGCATCTTTACGACGAAATCTGTAATGACAATATTGACAACCGAATGGTCTTTCATCTGTATGAATAAGTTTATGGCGTTCAAGTTTGGATTTCAATTTAAATGTTTTGGAACAAATATTACATTGATGTTTTTTTTGTCCATCATTATCATCATCATTAGTGGTATGCATTTGGCGAATATGATTATTTAATTTTTTGTCTGAATCAAATCTATATTCACATCGATCACATTTGTATTTCATATCAGAAGAATGTACACGACTAATATGTCTTTGTAAAGTACCTTGTTGTGTTGCTGCATATTGACATTGATTACATTTGAATGGTTTTAAATTTGAATGTATGCGAATATGTCTTTGTAAAGTACCTTTTTGTGCTGTTGCAAATTGGCATTGATTACATTTGAATGGTTTTTCAAATGTATGAATACGGATATGATTTTGTAAATTACGTTGTAGTGTTGTTGCAAAAAAACATTGATCACATTTGTACAGTTTTTTACCTGAATGCATACGGATATGTCCATCAAGATGATATTTACTTAGAGATCGATAACCACAAATATGACAAACATGTTTGCGGTTTGATTGATGTGTTTGTTGATGACGTAACAATTGCTTGGATGTATCGAATTTAATTGAACATTCTGAACAGGAAAGTTTTTCGATAGCATCATGGTCATCAACATCAGTTTCGGTCATCAAATTCAATGATTCTAAATCTTTGTCCGGTAATGATGAATTTATCCCATTAGATTGATTAGAATTTAGAATTTGATTAGAACAACATTTGTTGTTGTCAACAATATTTTCCAAAAAATCATTATCATCATATCTTTTATCGGATAGAAAATATCCAGAAATCATTGATGTATCAGTATTGATTGGAACAAAGGTAGAATTGAATTCTTTTTGTTCTTCTACAAAATCCAATGACAAATCGTTTTGATTGATTAATTTTTCCATCTTTTTTGAAAAATTATCAAATTTTGTTTCAATTTCACTTAAATACTTTTTTATTTGATTCAAATCATTTGAAAATGTTTGTTTAAATTTATTGAATTCATTTTCGATTGTATCCATATTGGTTAATATTAAATTATCTTCTTCATGATTGCATCGATTATTATTATCGATATTGGTTGATAATGAATTTGATGACGAAAACATGTTTTACAAAAAAAAAATCAATTCAATTTAATTTTCTCAACTAAAAAATTTCGAAAAAAGAAGATTTCAAAATATTCAAAATTTTAATGTAATATTGCACCAAATAAGACGAAAAAAATGAAAAATAAAAGTTGTAATAGGGAAATCAAAGATCACAGGTGTTTTAGCGTTGAAACACTCAACGATCATCACCAAAACAAACTCAAAACTTGGTTACTTTCATATATTCTATAGCAAACATTGAATTACAAATAAGCATGCGTAAATTCTTGCTTTATACTCAGAAAAATCCGACCACAAAAAAATTTTAAGCAGTGGCACAGCGATATGATACAGTATATGCGAAAAATAAATTTTTGAATAAAATCATTCTCTAAAAAAAGCAATTAATTTGTATAATAAACAAAATTTACGCAACAATCTATAATCGATGACAAATTATCAAAACGAAAAAAATATACAAAATTGTCAACTCTTTCTTTCTCTTGTAACACGAATTGAATTGTGCGCATGATCAAGAAACAATATGCTAGAATTTTTACCCTTTTTTTGGTTGTTGACTTCAATCCTATATTAGACAAAATAGTGGTTTTGTTTATACCAAACGTTTTTTCTTTCGTTCCATTCTCCTGTATATGTGTTGAAAAAAATTATGGCATGGTTATTAACGGTCATAAAAATCATTTTAAAGTTTGTGTGTGTGTGTGCGTGTCTGATAAGATTGTTTATGATATTTTTATCACTTTCCTCAAACAAACAAAAGGAATTTTACAACAACAAAAAAATTAATCCTTTGTTTTTGACCAAGAAAATCAACAAACCAAAATCAACAAGTTTTTGTTTTCATGGTCAAAATTTTTTTTTCTGTTAGATTTTTGGTTTTGATATTTTCCTTTTGTATTCGTTAACTGAAAATGCAATCAAAATTCAGTGGTCAATATCGGACGATTACAATCAACAATCGAAAAAAACGGTTACAACATTGAGAAAAAATTGCTTTCAATCAACCAAAATTGATGAAAATTTGAAAATGATACATATCGTGTAAATGAAAATTCAAGATTTTTTTTAAAGATATTATTTTATTCATTTATTTATTACAGATTATTATTTATAAAAAAATATTATCATTAAATTGTAATTTGTTAATAATAATTAATTACAAATTTGTGGATGTAAATTTTTGATATGTCTATTTAGATCATCTTTACGATGAAATCTGCGATGACAATAATGACAACCGAATGGTCTTTCATCTGTATGAACAAGTTTATGGCGTTCAAGATTGGATTTCTTTGTGAATGTTTTGGAACAAATATTACATTGATGTTTGTTTTGTCCATTATTATCATCATCATTAGTGGTATGCATTAGGCGAATATGATTATTTAATTTTTTGTCTGAATCAAATCTATATTCACATTTATTACATTTGTATTGCATATCAGAAGAATGGAAACGACCAATATGT